GAGGACCCATTGAATTGAGCGACAAGTCTATGAGAGGACAGATCGTTGAATTCAATGACCGGACACTGGAGTCAAGCGATAAGATGCTGTCGAGTGGCAAATGGGAAGACGTTGTCTGCTATAAGAAAAATCGCGTTTTGTGCCAGAAATACGTTGAATTGAATCACATATCTGTGAAGAAAGCACTTTTCAAAACTCAAACACAATTGAATTTTATCACAAAAGCCTTCAATGAATTTCGACAGAGAAGTGAAGAGTTGTTTCACCGAAAACTCAACAATTTTGAAGAAGAATTTCATTTATTTCAAGAAAAAACCAAATATATTGAGTCTAAATTGGAGGTCATTAACAACAAAACTGATATATCATTGAGAGAGACGGCGGCCGCAGAGTTTTACATAAGAGAGTTTATCGATAATCCGGGTATTTATTACAATTATAATTAAGTAACAATATGTGTATAATTCTAGTTTTATTTTATGTCATATTACAGTGCCGTTAGGTTTTGTTTACGTGCAATTGCCGGGACAGCCCGAGCCCAGCGTCTTATGGCCAGCAGTCCAGTGGTCAAACATTACCGACACTTATGGCGGGCTATTCTTCCGGGTGTTTGGCAACAGTTCTGATCCGTTCTCTGAGATCCAAGAGGACAGTGCGCCCAGACTTACGGCTGTTGTATCGCAAGTGAAACAAAAGTCAGGAAATCGTAATTTCAATGAACAGTTGCGACCGAACGACAAATGGAGTAAAGATTTGTACACCGGTTCTGATGGCGGAGACGACAACTATTACATGTCTTTTAAATTATCTTCCGGTGAAGTGAGGCCTAGAAATACAGCCGTTTATATATGGAAACGAACCAAATAGTCATTCATTTGTTTTTGCCCTAATTTTAATTTTTGTTATCATTAAACGATTTATATTTAAATTAATTGTATATTTAAATGTAGTAAATATTTTCAATTAAAAATTCATTGACATTTTATAAAAACAAACATTTGATGTCATTTAATTTAATAAAATTTAATGAATACAAACACTATTGTATGTATTACAAGGAAACTATTCTTATAATTGTAACCAGGGCCATTTATTAAAAAGGGTTGACAATGAATACAGAATATAGAATAAGTACCATAAAAATTGGGTCAATTTCTTGTATATAATTGTGTCAATTCTGAAAATTATTATCAAAAAAGAAAAAAATATTTTTTAAAAATTTGTAAAAAACAAATTGAAGAAATGATGAATAAATTGGTGATAATTTTAGTTTTGATTATATCTCTCACAACAATCTCGGCGCGACATACTTATGGTGTATACGGACCTAATGGGGCGGCTAATGGAGGTCCTAATGGTGGCGGCAAAGGAGGTGCAAATGCTAAAGAAAATGGACGTGAAAATAGTGCTTCAAATAATTCCCTTGGTGAATTTACTTGTAGCTTCGAGTGCGTAAAGTATCATGCCTGCAAATTCAGTATCTTATCCAAAAGTGAATGTACCTTTTCTAACGTTTGCGATTGTGATGTAATTGGAAAATGATTGTCTTATTTATGTAACTTTAGATATCTTTTTATGTAAATTTTTAATAAATAGTTTTAAACAAATATGCCAAACTTGTTAATACATTGTAATTTTGTGTGATTGTTTGTTACGCTGAATAAAAATTAAATAAAAATTAAATCATTTAAATTTGTAAATTTATTAATTAAATATCCTTTAATTAATGTAAAATATCAAATAATTATATTACGTTTATAATTTAATTGTATAATTATTTATTATAAAGTTTTGAATAAAGACTAATAGGAATTTATATCAATCATATTGTCATTAAACCAGAGATCAACAAACCTTACAATAAAGACCCAAAAATATATGTTAATCCGAAAAGAAATTTTCTAAAATCAAGTGTTTTTACGAATAATAACTAGATTTTGAGTTCAATAAATGCATTTGAAAAGTGTTAAAATGCATATAAAAAACACATTTTAAACTCAATATAGGAAATAATCAACAAATCAATTGTGTATAAATACCGGTCTAATTGTTTCACAAA